ACCCTCTGCACCTATCCCAGTCCACCTGTATCTCCACAATCTTCTGATTTCTGTAAAACTTTGGGACCACATTCAGTCTTTCATTCTGAAAATATCTATGGAGTTTTATGGCCATTGGATGGTTTAAGTGGACACAGTATAGTTAAAGTCTGAAGAAACACACTCTATTCAATGGCTTTCACAACAAAACCTTCATTATCAAAGTGAATACAGTACTCAGAAATTTTATATGAACACCCACCTTTAGCTAAGAAGAGGTAAATCAGATTCCCTCAAAATTAGGCAAGCAGAGCAAGATTTCCCAACACAATTCTATGTTTTGAAACCCTCCTAAAAATTACAAAGTTGGAACAAGACTTTTAGGTGTGTTCTTTCACTCATAATTTGACACTGCCTGTCCTAGTACTCTTTTACTTATGCACTGAATTCTGGTAGGCTATATCTGGCATGTATTAACCTCCAGGTTGCTGGAATGATATGTTTTTGACATTCAAAGACAAAGATACTCCTTCCTCTGGAATTTTTAGCCAACTACTGATAAGAGAGCAAGCCCAATGTTGTAAATTAAACATAATGATATGTATTACCAATGTCAGTGTAGTGTTCCCTTCCTCTCCTGGCTCAATTTCAGTTGTTTTTCCGATGTTTTTTTGAACTTTGCATCTATTTGTCTACAGCTTCAAACGTGTCATCCAAGTTCACCATGTCGCATCCATCCACTTGTGAGGTCGCCGTAAATGTAAAACATGATAGATTGGATTCTGTTCTACTTTAAGAGTACTAAAATGTGTATTTTTCATTAGATACAAATGTAAAGGATGAATAACCATGTCTATTGAAGATCTGGCACGAGGAGGGCAGCTATTTGTACTTGCTTAGCAACACCTTTGGGAACGTCATCCAGCTGGAACCTGAGCCATCCAGCTGAAAAGCTGCTGATTTGAAATACAAAATACATACTATATGATGGAAACCAGTTGCAACCGAAGAAATATGAAGTTAGTTCTGTCAATAACTTGAATGACATCCTTCAAAGGACACTTTCATGAATCTCCTCTCAGGAGCTACTTTTGTTGACATTTGTTCGTTACTTAGAAGGATCAAAGAACAAAAGGTCATCCGGAACATGACTTGTGCATCCATCATCTCCACACCTCTGATTGAGACGGAAATTTTTTGAAAAAATCGGAAATATATTTCTACATTACTTGGTAGCTTTGAGTAGCTGTAACACAAGTTTTGATGGAGAAAACTGAGAATCATTACAATTGGAATATTCTGGTGAAATGCAGCTTTTCTAGAAGAATTATGACATGGAAAAACATATGTGGATGCTCTTTTGGCAAGAAAAACATACACAGAATACAAGAAAATATGCCAGTCAACAATGCTGATCCAGGATGTACCATTTCTAAGAATTTTGAATCATAAAACATATCTGAGCTATATTTAGATCTATCCAACATTCTGGATCCCTAGAAAAAACATATTTGGATGCTCTTTAGGCAAAAACAAAACATCCACAGAATACAGAAAAACATGCCAGTCATCAATGCTGATCCAGGATGTGACATTTTTGAATCATCAAACATATCTGAGCTATATTTAGACTTGTAATAAATTACAAACATTCTGGATTTCATATCTGGATGCTCTTTAGGTAGACAAAACATACAGAAAACATATCAGTGATCCAGAATATCCCATTTCTGAGAATTTGAAATCATGAAACACATGAGAGCTATATTTAGATTTGTAATAAATCACAAACATATCAGGCTAAAAATAGATGCTGTAGAACAGTATTATAAGCAGAAAACATATTCTGGGGGTATATTTTATTATACATGCAATGGTTTTTATTTTTGAAAGGCTTTTTTTCAAATATTCTGATGTTCCACAGCCCATGGCATTTTGGCCAAGTGGCCAATTGCACACCCTATGGAAATGAATAAGGTGGAACCTTCCAGGTCAATTTGGTCTAAAACTACAGCCTGGGCTGACAAAGGTGTCTGAATTGCCATTGATGAATCGGCATCAGAGGGTGAGGGAGATAATGCTGCAGCAAGTGTGGCATTAAGCCAAACAAAGAAAAAAAAGGGCAGAGCATCAACGGACACAGACGTTTATGAGGCGAATGCACTGTCGAGGTTCATCTGCACTGAGTCCTGTTGTCAGCTCATGTGGGACTCATTTTTCGAGAACGAAAAAAAATGTAAGTGGGATTTTAAAGCGAAGACTCACAGAACTAACTCTACAAAGTGCAACTGACATATCCCACCAACACCATGTACCAACGCATTACGGGAACACGTTGCTGTGACAATTGTGAACCACGATTATTTCCCATTGAAGATGTGGACGTTGTGAAACCACCGGGCCTCAAGCGCGGTAAGAAGAAGACCATCAGAGAAGACAAGGAAAATATCATCCATGAGGGGTTAATGGATTGGGCAGACGATGATTTGGTTGAGGAATATTATGGTGCTGGGACTACAATGTCTGGGCGCATGCTATTGGGAAACGACATCATCGAGAAGTTGGCAACATGTGGTGAGCGATTAAACACTTATGCAGAGTTATGAAGGCAGGTTCATTGGGCTATGGGTCACGACACAATGACTGGACAAGCGAATAAATGGGGAGTTCTTCTACTCGGAGCTCTCTCATCAATTTATGAAAAGCTCGATGGTCTCAAGGAAGAGCAGGAGAGGGAGCGGTACAGTGCTGCATTGCAATTGCCGTTCACTAATTTTATGCCAGCATATTATGATGAAGAGCAAGGCCAGGAGAGGGAGTACAATGCTCAATTACAGTTTCCTTTTACTGTTCTTACACCTGCTAATTATGAATAACTAAAAGACAAGGTACTATTACTGAAAGTGAGAAAGCTCCTCGATAATTTCTCATGTCCGCGCAATATAGTCATTGATATCGGTTCCAAGTGGGTATTCATCGTCATCAAGTACCAAGTCATCCACTTCCAGCGCCAGATTGGAGCCTAAATCAAAGTCAGCCACTTCCTCTTCGTCAACCAGCATTGCATCATCCTCTCCAATATCCTCTGCAGCCAGGGCCCCTTCCGACAACCCATTGTTAGTCATCTTGTACTTCATATAGGTAAAATTCTTGAATGCGCCAGGCTTGTTCACATACTTAGCACCAACAGCCATAAGGTCGTGGGCTTCTGTGGCATGCTGATTATTTTCACGTCCAGGGAAGTATGTTTGCAATTTTTGTTGTTCAAGGTAATTGTGTAGGGTCTTGATATCAGTTTCAGCGGATGGACTGGTATGGGAGATGCTGTTGAAAGGTGTGTGATACTCGGACTGGACCTTGCAAATCACGTCGCGTAATGTGAAGATCGAGACAGAAATCATTGCCAGCCAAGCCCAGCTTCAATTGGATCCTTTTGTATTGTAAATAATCTATATAATATATGAGAGTGCATTTGCAACAGAAGAGAAGGTCAGTACCTTTGCCCAAAAGTTTTGATGTTCTTGGAGGAGATCCACTTCTTTGAACCCATTTGCTTTTCCAGTGAGATTTGCCAACCAATTCATTAGCCATGCATTTCTATCAAGATATCTTCAGTGGGTTAATCTTTAAATAGGAGGAATCACTCACCGAAGTTGAGGATCCATCATCTTTAAATCCATAATAAGGTGAAAAAGTGCATCTGCGTACTTTGGCATTTTACCCGTCCCCTGAAACATTAGCATCCAGTGAGTAGTGATGTCAAGAACTGCACCAACATCTCCTCGTTTGACCGCATACTTGAGTTGACGGAGATATAGGGCATCCCGATTGAACAGACAAATGTTTTCGAGAGGGAGGTCACGTTTGATGGGGGTTGCATGACACAGACGTTGAGGTCTGGACCACTACATTTGGAGGCAAGAAGATGAGGAATCCCTGCCTTCTTATCTTACCATGCTCCAATCTGGGCACTTGTCACTTGTATCATCGCACCTGGTGGAGGGAGATTTGTATCCTACGTCGAGCTTGATCAACATGTGCTGCAATTGTGGCGCTTGAACATTTTACATTCACTTTGCAAAGCACCCCCCAGCAAGCCTATCCTCACGTCCATTTTAATTAAGCCCTTCCATTGCAAGCTCAGTCAAAACTATCTCCTCGTCTTTCTAGCAGGCGACCCCACACAATCATACATCCAAGCCCCTCTACCTGCCCTCCCTACCTATCTCATTGCTGTCTTTCTCCTTTTGTACAAGCCACCCCTCTCCCCTGCACAACCCTGCACCCACAAAAATGTACACCCACTACACACCTCCATGCCTAATTGGCATCGTCTCACCAGAACTCTACAAAGCCTCCCTCATCCAGGCATGACTGTCTGACAAAGTATGGGGTGGGATGGGTGTGGGCATGACCAGTGCCATGTGGTACGTGACTGAAGGTGGTGGTGTTGGGGAGGCACAGTCTAGTGATTGAAGGAGGTTCCATGGGTGGGTAAGCAGGTTAGGCAGTTTAGGATTTTGGGGGAGTGGTGGTGTTGTTGGATAAGTAGTTTTGTTTTGTGGCCTTTGGTGCTGAATAAGTTCTCAACAATGCCTGCTACCTTACTTGGAAGTGCAGTTGCATAGAACTGCAGGCAGCCAAACAAGTGTCAAATCTGAACTGAAAAGTGGACGTCCACTTTTCAGTTTAAAATTGATGCCTGTTGGTTATGTTTGACAAAGGCTCTCAAAGAATAGTGTGACAAAAAATGGGTCTGTATAAGAACGATTCCTTACGTAAACTCCAGGACTCGTAATCTCATCACAATGATCACATCTTATCAACGTGCACATGTGCTGCCCTGCCCCTCGCCTTTTGTGCGCCCAAAGAAGACGTGTCCCCTTGTTCTTTCTTTCCCTCGCCCCCTCCCTCAATGCTCTCTGCGTCCCAGCCTCCGCCGTTGACGTGGGCATCGCTTTGCCCGTGTTCCCCTTGCTTTCCACGTCCTCGCCGCCTGGGGGAAACACTCTGCCTCTGCCGTGCCTACAGCTTTCATGTCATTATCACCTGCATCTGCCTCAAGGTGCTTTTCTTTGTGATTTCGGCCATTTGTCTCTTGTTTGGCGGGCATCCCCTTGACCTTCCTCTGTGCTGTCTGTTCCGTATAGAGGTGAGTGGATCTTCTTTGGATCCTTTTCCAACTTTCTCACTTCCCCACTCTGTTTTGAAGATTTTGCGTGCACTTTTGTTGCTCATCCCTTTGGCCTCCCTGACCTCTCCTAGGCCCACATGCACCCCCCTCACCTGTATCTGGTCTGTTGCGTCTGTTGCGTCTTACTGGTGTCATCTCAGCACCCCCCAGTCCTCTGGTGGGAGGACCAGTCTGCAATCTGCGAGTTCACTTGTGAAATTTGCTGGACTGTGTCCTGCTTGACTTGTCTGATGCTTTGGTTTATCCGAGTGCCAGTGAGCAAGTCGCTGCCGACTTCCCAGCTGACTTCCAGCCAGCTTTGGCAGGTTTCAAGTGGGTCTGCGAATACAGCACATTTTCCCTGCTGGGGTATCAGCCTACAACAAGTTTGTAGCTTGTATGCTCATTTTTTCAAGGCACCATTTAATTTCAGAACCAGTATGGTACATCATGAACATTAACTAAAAGTAATAAGATATGAAATGTTTACTAGCTGCGTGTTTCAAATGGTGAATGTTCTTCTTCTTACGCAAAGCTTTTTCCATTGTGCTGACTGTGCTTAAGACCTAGCCAACAACCTTGCCACATTTGCGTGTTAGGATTTTTCCTTCTGCTTGCCCTTTTGCATGAATCGCCTGCAGGAGAGCGGTTATCCCCTCCTTGTGTTCTGGGTAGGCTTCCTTAAACAATTCTTCATCCCGTCCATATCTACATACATGGTGAGTGCATATACCTGAGATTGAAAGAGCACGACACACTCAACAATGAACTCCAGTGCAATCGTTCTATGCTGGCCCCATAGCTGGCTTTGGCGGCTCGATGTGTGCCACTCGTGCCTCCAGTCCTTCAGAGCTGTGAAGTGCTTCTGGCTTGGATTGGGATACTCCCAGTCATGGACAACCTGCTTCCAAGCTTTCGCACCCAGCTTGTGATTAATGTCGGGCACAACGGCAGATGGCTCAATGGGAATTGGCAACCCCACACCCACGGACGTGGCATTCATCAATGAGGAGTTTTGGAGGGGATACATGACAGGCCTGTGGTTGATTGCTGCCGACTGATGCCCATTCGATTGGTGGCTGAAGATCGGAGGGCAGGGGCTGACCAACTGTCTTTGTGGCGTGGCAGATGGCATACCAGGAGGGTATTGCATGCAGGGCATGATAGGCCTTGCATTGATCAGGCCGCGCATTTCATCAAACATCCGCCGCTGCTCTGCTGCCTGGGCTGCAAAGAGTTAGAGCCCTTCTGCTGCTGACAGCAATTGTGTTTCACCGGCCTCGCCCATATGCGACATGTTAGCTTCGTAATTGACAGGACACAAAGCGTCGCTGTGATCCTCCTCGTATATGTACAGTTCGTCTAAAAGGTACCTAATTAATGTATCATGCTAGAAGAAAAAACATAAACACTCATTTTGTGTAGAAAATTTCTATGTACATGTTTGCCAATGGCCCACCCACCCCACCAATGAATCTGGGCCAGCATCCAACGTTGCCCCATTGGTGTGAACATGAACTGGTACTGGGCACCCCCACAACAAAAGCAGTGAGCAGTACTTTATAGTGCCCCTCCCATTCCTGCAGGAATCCACAGGAATCCACAGGAATGGAACTGGATTTTGCAGGATTCCACAGGAATAGGACCGGAATCCACAGGAATAGGACTGGAATGAATGTAAATTTACTGATCAGCTTTTCATCATGTGACTACATATGTATTTATTCAACTCCTACCTTATCCTGATAACTTAGTACTCAAAATCCCTCATAGAACCCATATCTCAAGCAATAGATTTATATGTCAAATTATAATTTATTTAATAAGGACACAAAATGTATTTTACTACATACAATCTATATTAAAGCAGGGGGGGTAGGGACAAGGAAGGGGGTAGGGACAATGAAGGGGGTGGGGACAAGAAAAGGGGGGTAGAGACACAGACGGAGAGTGTGTTGTAGAGGGAGGGGGGGAGGAGTGGTGAGGAGAGAGTGTGGTGGAAGGGGGGACTAATGGGGTGGGGAGAGTGTGGTGGGGGACTTGCATTGTCGACGTTGCATGTCGCCATCGCGTTGTCGACGTTGCATGTAGCTGTCGCGTTGTCGATGTCGTGTGTCGCCGTCGTGTTGTCGCCATCGAGTGTCGTTGTCATTGTCGTTGCGTTGTCGATGTCACATGTTGTCGACGTGTTGTCGTTGTCATGTGCCATTGTTGTGTTGGCATCATCGCATGTTGTACGTGGGCGCTGGGCGTTGGGTGTCGTTGTCGACCTCATGTGTGGGTGCTGGGTGTTGTTCCGTGGGTGCTGGGGCATTTTCGTGGGCAGGGTGTGGTTTTCGTGGGCAGGGTGCAGTTTTCGTGGGCGTTAGGGCGTTTTCGTGGGTGCTGGGGAGTTTCCGGGGGTGGTGGCAGCTGCAAACCAGGGAGTGGGGGGCAAGGAGGTTGGCCACATCGACAGGGCACCTGAATAGTGAGCAGTGGGGGTGGAGAGTTGGGTGGCTCAAAACAACCTGACGGTGACGACTGGTACGTCGTCACCGTCAGACGATGTGTATTCGTGTCGTCTGACCTTCATTGCCGCATTCGCCTGGTCGTCGTGGTGGGTGCTTGTGAATCGTGGTGGGCGCTGGTCGCCGTTGGTTGATGGCGGTGCTCTGGTGGTGCCACGTCGTTGTCATCTGGTTGGTGGTGGGCGCTCATGGATGGTGGTGGTGCCACGTTGGTGGTTGTTACCATTCGTTGGTGGTGTGTCGTGGCTGTTGTTGGGTCGTGTGGTGTCGTCGTCGTTGTCGCCGTTGTCAACGTGGTTGGTGGGAGGGAATGGAGGTGGGGAAGAGGATGGTTGGTGGGTGGAAAGGAAAGAGTGTTGCATTTGTTTGGTAGCGTTGCCTTTGTTTGGTAACAAAAGTAAAATAAACAAACAATTGACCGGATTCTGTTGCATTCCATTCCTGCCATTCCTGCGGAACATTCCGGTGTCAATTCCGGAATGCCCAAATTCCGCCGGGATGGTAAGGCACCAGAATAATGAAAATAGCAGGCCTCCCTGCTAATCTGGACGATATCAGACGAGATGGGAATGTGGGGGTGTGCCACCAAACCGTTCACACCCAGCGACGGAAATATGTAGTCATCGGGCTTGAGCTTCCTTCCAAGAAGGTGGGTTTCGTAGAACTCTTTCCAATTCCACATATGTGTGTACAGATCGATTGCGGGGTTGTTTGGTTGGGGGTAGACATTGTAGGTGTGTCCTGATGGATGGATGTTAGAGTAGAGACCTGAAGAAACAAGCCCAACCTGAACTGTTGAGTCCATTCTCTCCATTCTTTGCCTTTTTTTGCCAGTTCTTACGATTTCGCAGATTGATCTTGATATATGGCAAATGAGGTTTTCCTGGGCGTGGAGGTGGGTTGAAGTCAAGGTGTTTGGCTTGAACACTTGTGGTTTCATTCACTCTGTAAACATGTTGTAAATGGCAGTGCTCTTATGTCCCTCAAGCCACTGTCTAACTCACCGAGTCCAGATCAACCAGGAAAAACTATTGAAAGCCTTCTGTAATAGGTGGTTTGCTTGAAGGGCAAGTGTCTGCTGGTTGGATACAGGAAGATTTGCTGGGCACGTCTTTTTGGAGTATGCGAACATCGCTTGCATGTCTCCGAGGGACATCGCTCGAGAGTGATTCCGCTCACCCTCACCGTCTTTGTTTTTGCAGGCCTCGAGCATATCTTCGACTTCTGCGGAGCGGGTAGGGTTTCCCTCCCATCTCTGGCATGTCTCGTTGAATCTCCAGCATCCACGATAGGTGTCATTTGCCCTTTTCTTCTTGTGAGTGAAGAACAGAATTTATTGCAGCGTGAACTCACATTTGATTGTAGTGGCACAGGAACGCAGTGTGAATTGCAATAGCAGTCGACACCTTCCTGTTTTCTGTAAAACACTTGTATGTCATGAACATCGATATCACGAGTGGAGTACACTGTATTGGATTCCCGTCAAAGGCTTTGTGGAAATTGGGGTCCAGCGTCACTGGGGCAACGTTGCAACTGTCGCCTTCATCGTTGTCACCCGACACAGCATCTTCTCCATTGTCCTGCCACAGTTCCTTGGCCTCCGCTTGCTCCATTGAAAAGTGGGTGACAAATTCTTGCCCTTGCTTTACTTGCCCACTGTAGCTGTTGTTTGTATTCTCTGACCTCCCGAATTGTGTTTTCTTCTCCGCAGACTTCTTTTGAAGATGGGCATGGTCTCTGGGTGAAAGTTTCGGGGCTGTATTCATCTTCTTGTGTTTCTTAGGCTTACACGCCTTTTTCACTGAGTTGGACGGGGCAGGCATAACAGAGGAGGTGGTCGCAGAGGCTTGGTGTGCTCGTCACTTGGAGCTCTTTACACTCCCCCACCTATTCCTACTGGACTCCTACTGGAATCCCGGACTCCTACTGGATTCTACTAGGACTCCGGCCAATTTCATATTGCCTGAACACCATACAAATTTTGCATCTCAGTCCTACTGGAGTCCTAGTAGATTCCTACTGGAATGATCCCAAATCACAAGGAATTAAGGATTCCTAAGGAATGGGTATAGTGGAGTCCAGTACAAGGAGTCCAGTAGTTTGTCACTATTATTGTTATTATATAATAATAAAAAAAGCACAACCTGCATGGATTGAACACTCAACCTCACGGAGACGGCAACATTTTACAGAGTGAGCACTTTACCACTTGCACCACGTAGGCATTATTGTACAGATATATTTTATGCCATACATACCAACTGTAAGGCTACCTTCCTAGAAAGGATGCCGGCAAATTCCGTGAGTGGGAATTTGCCCAAACCCTCAACCCACAACCTTCCACGACACCACCACCACCCCATCTTTGCTCCGTCACCACCGTCGCCTCATCACCACCGTCGCCTCATCACCACCGTCGCCTCGTCACCACCGTCGTCTCGTCACCACCGCCGCCTTGTTGATAGCCACGCCGCCTCCAATGAGGATTCCGGGTGCCACGTCGCTGACAGCGGCGTGGTAACCAGACGACGAACGACGAACCTCGTCGTTCGTCCGTCGTTCGTCGTCGTGCATTCGTGAGCACCCCCACCCCATCCTACCTCGTCTGACCCACCAACAGACGGCGCCACGGCACGCAACGACGACCCTAAACAGCAGCGAGGACCCACCACCTCACCCCATGGAGTGCCAACAACCACGAGCGCCCACGGACACGAGAAACGAGAACGCCGCGGGACAGCGACGACCCCCGCCTACCCGCCAACGCCCACGAAAACGACCGCCCACGCCTATGAACAACGACCGCCCACCCCCACGAACGACGCCCATGTCCACGAACGAAAAGCGCCCACGAACACACCTACGCCCACCCGCCAACGCCCACGAAAGACGACCGCCCACACCCATGAACAACGACCGCCCACACCATGAACCCGCGTACGACAACAACGACCGCCCACGTACGAGAACGACCGCCCGTATACAACAACGACCGCGCTGATGCACAAGAACGACCGCCCATGAGAACGACCGCCCACGCACGAGAACGACTGCCCATGGATGAGAATGAACCCCACCTGTCTCCCCTCTCCATCCCTCCCCTCCCTCTTCCTCCATCCCTCCCCCCCTCTTCCTCCATCCCTCCCTCCCTCCCTCTTCCTCCATCCCTCCCTCCCTCTTCCTCCATCCCTCCCTCCCTCTTCCTCCATCCCTCCCCCTCCATCATTCCCACCTCCCTTCCCTCCCTTCCCCTCCCCCTGTCTCCCCCTCCCTTCTCCTCCCTCCCCCTCCCTTCTCCTCCCTCCCCCTCCATCATTCCCACCTCCCTTCCCTCCCTTCCCCTCCCCCTGTCTCCCCCTCCCTTCTCCTCCCTCCCCCTCCCTTCTCCTCCCCCTCCCTTCCCCTGCCTTCCCCTGCCTTCCCCCTCCCACATTAGATTATTAGATACTTTTGTATATATTTGTGTATATAGTTATCAATATAATATCTATGTTCAAATGGAAGTTTGGTATGGAATTCTC